CCTCCGCCGTCCTCATTCCTTCCCTTCCTCCCTCCCCCCTTTGGTAATCCTCTGCTACCTCCTCTATCCTTCAGTGTTCCGTTGACCCCTTTTCTTTCCCCCCTGCTGACTCCCTCTCCTCCCATTGTTAAGGGAAAGAGGGGTTATGGGGAATGTTGCTAGGGAAGGTGGGGGTTAAAGAAGTGTTGTAATGGAGAGAGAGGGGTGGGGGGGGTTCCAAGCTGGTGTTGTGTACTCGAGAATTTTTACTTAAGTTGTGTACAGCGTCTTGAATGGTTGCTTGTTCAAGGTCTTGAATGGTTGCTTGTTCAAGGTCTTGAATGGTTGCTTGTTCAAGGTCTTGAATGGTTGCTTGTTCAAGGTCTTGAATGGTTGCTTGTTCAAGGTCTTGAATGGTTGCTTGTTCAGGTCTTGAATGGTTGCTTGTTCAGGGTCTTGAATGGTTGCTTGTTCAGGGTCTTGAATGGTTGCTTGTTCAGGGCCTTGAATGGCTGCTTGTTCAGGGTCTTGAATGGTTGCTTGTTCAGGGTCTTGAATGGCTTGCTTGTTCAGGGTCTTGAATGGCTGCTTGTTCAGGGTCTTGAATGGTTGCTTGTTCATTGTCTGGAGCTGTTCCTTAATGGGCCAGAAACAACTTATACAAGGTGCGGCAGGACGAATCTTGTGTAAGTCACTTTGAGACGAATCTGTCGAATGAAAATCAGACACATACGTCTCACCCAGAGCCACGTGTTTGTAGGGGGTCCTGCGCTTCTCTGTGTATTTCCGTATGGAACACATTTTACCTGTGGTCACTGTCTTTTTTGCTTTTGTCGTGATTTTTATAATTATTGGGGTGACAGTAAAGATCTCGGGGAATTTTTAACGAGTCTTTCGACATTAGTAATTTAATGAGATTTTAAATGATTCTTGTTATTTTATTTGGTATGGTAGTATTTGTGTATAAAAAACTAAAAGGCACAATATCGTGAATGGAACGGTACACAAATAATCCACACATAAAAAAGTTTACGACGACGACGTTTCGGCCCGACTTGCACCATTTACAAGTCACATTGTGCGGGTTATTTGTGTTTTGTGTGTTATTCATGCAAGTAGTTTATATTGTTAATTTAATCCTTGTTTTTCGCGTGCTTGTGTTATACTTTTGTATTGCCAAAGTACCCTTTAAATTTCCAAACTACATTGCCAGTAGTTCGGAAATTTAAAATATGGTGCCAGTGGCGGTTCGTAGCTAAAATTAATGGAGGTGCTGCTTCAGAAAAAATTTAGCCATTGTTTTAATATTGTGTAAAATAAAAGAACCGAAAAAACTATGAATTAAATAAAATAGCTGGAAGCATGGTAATCCTCTAATTCTACTTTATCATATTTAAGAATATGGTACATGGTTTTTAAGCACAACACACGTCGCCGAGTCAAAAAGAAACACTACCTTACACTTGCACAGCAGGGTCGGCACTGCATCAGCGACAGTGCTCTCTCTACCTAGCGTGCAGCGTCTTATCTTGGACATGTGCGCATGCACACAAAAGCCAAGCACCGAGTCGCTGGAACTGTGAAGTGCACAGTTCCATACAAGGATTTCTGTAAAATTTTTCATGTACTAGGGGATGGCTACTGACATTAAGCTTAAGGATTATATAATGTACAAGTATAAAGAAAGAATTAAAGAAAAAAAGAAATATTGAATTTTATCGATAATATCGAGTGAAAATAGGGGGTGCTGCAGTTCCGCAGTGCCTATACACGAGCCGCCACTTGTACGGTGCGATATTTAACTCAAGGTATAATCCTAATACGCTTCTGTATTGATTTTTTATTGTAATACATCCTGGAAAACTTACCATCACACCTTATGCTGTTACATTTTTTTTTACTTGGTTAGCTGGTAAGCCAGCAAAAGCCTTCGGTCATGACAAAAAGATTTCTTCAGTGAGTTCGTATATGACTAACACCAGCGTCAGGGAAAAAATAGCCATTTCTCCCAACAGAAACGAAATACCATCACCACTGTCTTTAGATACTTTCGCTCTTTCTCTTCCTAGAGTAGGACAGTTTGTCCAAGTCGTACTGAAGTCTCTCTTCCAGTCCTCCCTTCTGTCCGAGGTATTCTACCACACATCCTTCACCCTGAGGGTGCCACTAACAACAATCGGCTAACATCCAGCCATTTATTACTAGGCGAACAGAAACAGTAGATGTAAGGAAACGCTGTGTCTCCACCCGTCGCAGGATTGATTCCGGGTTCTTCATTTATGAGTGGGAAAGCCACATTATTCTTCATTAAATTAGTTTATGTAAGCATATTTGAATATATAAATATACCACTCATGCCGAAGGGAGAGTCTGCTAAGATATCTGGATAATAAAGGCTAATATAAATGGAAAGGGGAGAATAGAGGGGCTTAGTGATTAAATTTTGTAGAATAGGGAAATGTGTAAGGAAATTTAGCAGGCTGGGCCGGGAAGGGTTCAGGTTAATGAGAGGAAAATTAACTGGACAGTGAAATGTTTAGGGGAATGAGAGGAGGGGGAGGAAAGATTAGAAATAAAAGGGAAGCTGGGGAGGTAATAACTTTTGGGGGAGAGAGTGTGTGTGTGTGTGTGTTAGTTACCATTTTGTCCTAGGCACATGTCGATTAGACACTAGGCCTGTTGTATATGTGTGTGCATGTGTGTGTGTGTGTGTGTGTGTGTGTGTGGGGTGTTGTGTTGTGTGTGTGTGGGGGGTGTTGTGTTGTGTGTGTGTGTTGTGTGTGTGTTGTTGTGTGTTGTGTGATGTGTGTGTTGTGTTGTGTGTGATTGCGGTTGTGTGTGTGTGTGTGTGTGTGTGTGTGTTGTGTTGTGTGTGTATGTGTTTGTGTGTGTGTGTGTGTGTGTGTGTGTGTGTGTGTGTGTGTGTGTGTGTGTGTTGTGTGTGTGTGTGTGTGTGTTGTGTGTGTGTGTGTGTGTGTGTGTGTGGTGTGTGTGTGTGTGTGTGCGCGCGTTTGTTTGTATATATATATAGTTCTGATAATGTGAGTAGTCACGAACGCTGGAATTTTCTATTCTTTCAGAGTGTTGTTTGCTTATATATATATATAATTTCATATATAATATAATATAGTACAAAGTAAAGTATGTATTGTTATATGCAAACAATCGCAGACGGTCGATCTTAACTATGCAGGACAAGCACGGGAGGGGGGAGATGGAAATCTTTAGCTCAATACTTAGTCTAAGGTATACGTGGCGTGACACTAGCTACTCTGAGACCTTCCCTGCTATGGTTGCTCCCTTAAAATATGCACACCACCTAATGACGCACTGAGAAGTGTGAATATAACTTGAGCTAAAGATTCCCCCCCCGTGGCTTGCTGTAATATATATATACATACATATCATATACATATATATATAGTATACATGATGATATATATATATTATATATATATTATATGTATTATTATAAATATAATGTGTGAACGAGGGGAGGAAAGAATTGGGAACCAAATTATAGGAAATAAGGGGATTAGGAGAGAAAGTTGGCTTAAAGGTAAAGTGGCGTGGGGAACTTCCCTACCCCTTTCATCTCTCCTCCCTCTTCCCTTCTCTCCCCCTTCTCCCTCGTCCCTTCTCTCCCTTCCCTCCGCATATTCTTCACTTCGTCCCTTGAATCCTCCCTTCCCTCTTCCCTATTTGCCAGTGCACTAAACTTGATGTGTGTACACATCTCTGCGTGCGTGTGTGGAGAGAGAACATATAAGTGGTGGATGTGTGGAAGTTGAGCGCAGTCTCATGTTCCCTTCTCTTAACCATCAGTTCAGTGAGGCTTTTATACCCACAGTAAAGCTTTATTACACTACTATTACTACTATACTACTACTACTAATAATAATAGTAATAGGATAGTATGAGTAATGGGAAAGAAAATGATCTTTCCGAAGTTATCAGTAGGGCAGTGTTAGTGTTTAAAGGTCAGTTTGCTCAGTGTTGAAAGAGTGATGAATTCTATCTTAGTTTGAAGGTCACCTATATTATATTTCGTGACAGATGACAACAATTAGATAATAGAATGGTGGTGGTGGTGGTGGTGGTAGTTTGGTGGTGCTGGTGCTGGTGCTGGTGCTGGTACTGGTACTGGTACTGGCTGTCTTAATGTTGATTTTTGTTGCTTGGCGGGGTAGCGGCTGCGTCAATGACTCGTGCAACACATCTCACTACAATTGTATTACTACTGCTTCTACAACTACTACTATTCCTGCTGATACTACCGTCTCGCAGCTTACTACCTGACTCCTGCCACTATATATACAAGTTTCTTAGTTTTCTCTGTATTAAGATTGAAGAAGTCACTCGTGGCGAAACGTTTCCTTCAATAAATGTTCTGAACTGTACATAAGTGTCTTTTTTTCACACTCGTGCAATATTTATTGAAATTGCCTGTGCTTGACTCCCCTATGCCACCGCAAGGGAATGAGGGAAAGGGTATGGTTATGTTGGTAGGTAAAGGGCTCTTGCATTAAGGCAGTGGAGCTATTCTCTCCTTCCCTGGATCGAATCGGAATTACCTCCCATTTTCTAAGCGTTGTGCTACCCCTTTTCCCCCCTACAGAGTTAGCATTTCCCCAGGGATAAAAAATAATAAAAAAAAAATCCATTTGTAATGAGCTTCTTGCTTTCTGCTCGATAACCATGTCCTAATTAGATTCAACATGGCCTCTCCAATATCTGTCTAATTATTCAACTCTGGTGCAGTGCTGTGAAGGTGTGTAATGACAGGTGTATGATCGTGTTGTGTTGTAACATGTGTATGATCGTGTGTTGTGTTGTGACAGGTGTACATGTGTGTTGTGTTGTGACAGGTGTATGGTGGTGTGTTGTGTTGTGACAGGTGTATGATGATGTGTTGTGACAGGTGTAAGTGTGTTGTGTTGTGACAGGTGTATGATCGTGTGTTGTGAGTTGTAATGACAGGTACTGTGACAGGTGTTATGACATGTTTTTGTGTCTTCCAGGCAGTGAGTGAGTGGTCTGCCGCAGTGATGCTGGGGGAGAAGCGGCACCCTCTCTTGGCACAGATGCCCGCCCCGGCCGCCAGCGCCCCTCCCCACGCCCACAGACAGCACATCGTGGGCGTGCCGAGCGCGGGCGTGCCTGGGGTGGGCGTCAAGCTGATGCAAGAGCCTGGCTTCGCTGCCAACGACTCTCACCTCTACGCCCGCGACCTCCAGCTCAGCCTCAGATACCGGGACGAGGCCGCACGCCCTCAGGAGGCCTTCCTGGCCCAGGGGCTGGGCACACCCTCAGGGCTCAGATACCCCCCTGGGGGCGTGCCCCTCGCTCAGGCGGCCGCCGAAGAGGACCCCAGGAGACAGAGAGCTCTGTCTCCTGGTTCTCAGCACTCAGCAGCGGCTACGTTCTTTGCAAGGTTTGTACTGCTTCCTCTCTCATCACCCCCACTTTAATTTCATTGCATTCTGTGCTGTTTAAATTCTCAACTTTTTTTCACTGCGGAGGAATTAAATTTTAACATAACCGTTGTATGTTGCCTCTGCAAGACTTGGCTTACATCGTCCTAGAGATCATAGAAGTTTTAGTAACGTCTGTGAAAGTTTGCTACAGTGCTATAATTTGTGTTTTTTTCTGGATTTTTATGAGGAAAAAATGGTATCGCAGCTAGTTTTTTTTTTTTTTTTTTTTTTTTTTTTTTTTTTTTTTTTTTTTTTTCGCCAAAATGGCTAGTTTATTGTGCACGCCATATCCATCCTGTGGAGGGTAACGCAGGAGCATGTGGTTACACAAAAGGTCTAGGAACTAGGTCCCAAAAGGATTAACAGGAATACATCTGGATTTATATCTACAGTTCACTTATCTGTTACATGCAAATTTAGGAAATTTGTTTATTATATCTGGTATCTTATTTTCATTATTAAGATATCTAGTGCCATTACTTGAAGAGCAAAGCTTTTCACTGCAGCAGTTTCCTGATATTATTTATTCACTTTTACTATTAGAAAATCAAACCTCCAACTGCTTGCTTCACCAGCCATTACTCTTGCACGCGTTTTGTGTGTTATTCCACCATCTACCTGCCTGGAGTCAATTTCGAGGGTCACCGTCACCCCTCGACCCTTCCCCAGGCCAGACCTCCCATCATCACATTGCTCACAGGTGTTCCTCTGTATATATGACTTCGGCATTTTTTTGCTGGTGTTGCGGGTGTGAGAGGCAGGAGCGTCTTGCACCAATCACATGTTGTCTTTTGCTGCTTCAGTATGGTTTGAATTGTACCACAGGCAGCTGCAGTCATGTCTTCGGCACTTAAAAGGCCCTCCTCATCTGAAATTATGTCCTTGGTAAAATCATGTCTTTAGTGAAATCATGTCTTGTTTAGTAACATCATGTCTTTGACACTTAGTCATGTATTCGACTGCTAAAGCTGTTGCTGTTTCGGTATTGGGGAAGAGAGGGGGGGGAGCAAGAGGTTGGGAATGACCAACCCACGTCTAGAAGAAAGTGGTCCATCCTTAGGTATCCTCTGAGAGGGGGTTTTGGGTTCTGCAGCTGAGAGATTCTTATACAGGTAAATCACAGGTTATCTCGGGGTCTTACGTGTGGAGGGTAGGTGCCAGAAATCGTGCCTATAAGTTGTAAAGTCAACACGCATAGCCACCAATATGAGGAAGGTGGTGGGCAAGCAGGAGGTATGGGGAAAGAAGAGGAGAGAGAGAGAGAGAGAGAGAGATGGGAGAGGTGTTGAGAAAAAGGGGTCGATGGGTGTTGGGAGAGGATGGGAACGAGAGATGAGACGTAGAGGAGGAGAGAAGGTGCTAGAGAAGGAGAGAAGATGCTTAGAGGAAGCCAATGAAAAAAGAGATGAATGGGAAAAGATGAGATAGGTAAGTAAGGGAAAAGAAGAGATGTGTAAGTGGAAACGTCGAAAAAGGAGAAAAAAAATGTTCAATACGTTGAGAGAGAGCTGACAGTAAAAGAAAAAAAAGAAGGGGTCAAGAGGAGAGGAAGGAAATTGAAAGGAGGGAGAAAAAAGGTTGAGAGTGAGTGCAAGACTCGAGGCTCTACTTGACTATGTATAAGCTGGTGTGTACACCAAGTGTTATGCAAAGAATACTTGTGTGGGGGGTTTAAACAGTTGGTGTTTTACCTAAGACTCGCTGGTGCAAACCTAGTTCAGTGTGTGTGTGTGTGTGTGTGTGTGTGTGTGTGTGTGTGTGTGTGTGTGTGTGTGTGTGTGTGTGTGTGTGTGTGTGTGTGTGTAAATGAGAAACGTCTTGCATCTCTACTGAGGTGTGTAAGACCCCTCTTGGTAGTGGCAGTACTCGTTGTCAGATCGTTTCCTCTAATGACCACACAATACACCTGATCTTTTTATAAAATAATGAGTCTCACAATGTGTTCTCTTGTGTACATATTATTCACTTGTATGTATGTATTTATTTACTTGTATATATTATTCACTTGTGTGTGTATATATATTGTGTACATATTCTCTCTTTTGAAAATAATCTGTCTTAATAGTGGCTGTTCATCTCTGAGCCTCTTCCTGCCGTTCTTTGTTGTTCATTCCTGAACCTCTCCCTGCCGTTCTTTGTTCATTCCTGAGCCTCTCTCTGCCGTTCTTTGTTGTTCATTCCTGAGCATCTTACTGCTGTTCTTTGCTGTTCTTGTTTGGGCGTCTGCTGAACATCTCTCTGCTGTTCTTCATTGTTTATTCCTGGGCATCTCAGTCATATTCTTTGCTGTTCATCCCTGGGCATTTCGGTGGTGTTCTTTGTTCTTTTCTGAACATCTCCCTGCTGTTCTTTGCTGTTCATTTTTGCTCGTCTCGGTGCTGTTACGTCTTTTACCAAGTATTAGTTTCGCTGTGCGATGTGCACTCTAGATACATTGTCCCTTCAAGGAGAGGTGCACTATTATCAAGACTGATGGACTGAACACATCGACCCTAGGCTGAGGGACTGATTACCTCAAACTCCTCCTATCTTTCACATTCCTCTGCATTGGACTGAAGAAGCCACTGACTGGCGAAACGTTTCCAGAATAAGGTTACCTAAATGTTATACAAATGTCTCATTTATCAGTCTCGTATGAGAGGAGGTCAGTACCCGTGTGTTGCAGTGACACCGCAGAATGCTTGAGTTCACCTAATGTGTCAACTGCGTTCCTGGTCTCCGCCAGTCTGATTCACGAGTCAATATTCGTCTGATAAATGATGTTTAAACTTAAAAATTCTCTTTGTTTTAAGAAGTACAGAGAGCTGATGATGTATGTACACAGACGTTAACAACACCAGGATATCACCATGGTATATACACCTCTCGGTGTATATACCACGCTGAGATGCACCGTATAGTGTGTGTATCTCAGCGTAAATACACCGAGAGATGTGTAACTTTATGTATATACTCCTTAAGGCGTGTTGTGTGTGATACACCGAAATGTGTGCATGTATGTGTCTATATACACCGATAAGTGCGTCTTTTTACTCACACTGAGGTGTGTGTATCTGTACTTACACCGAAGCATGTGTATATACATCAAGAGATGTGTATCTGTGTAAAAATACCGTGAGGTTTGCATAAGTGTATTAACGCCGAGAAGAGTATGTAAGTATATATCCACCATGAGGTGTGTGTATCTCGGTATATATCAACAGAAGTTATCTTAATCCCTGTTTTTTTAAAGATAAACATATTCCTGACTGTGTACAAGCGCTATACAGCCTACAAGACGATAAATTAGACATACGTGCAACACGAGTATCTTTATTGTAGACGTTTCGCCATCCAGTGGGTTTTTCGATACAAATTCAACGACTTAATTGGAAAATAGTAGAACTATATACAAAAGATGAGGTAATCAGTCCCTCAACCTTGAAGTTGGTGAAGAGCGTGAAGCACAGGCATGAAGATTGGTGCTTATATACTGGCGTCATGTACAACTACATGTACAACTAGGGAATTATACTTAGAGATTGAAGTAAAGCTGAAGTGTATACATACCGAGACATACATTCTTCCAGTATACATGTAGAGAGATATACACCTTAGGATATATACAGTGTGATTATGGTAATGCTTCTCTAATTTGCACTTATGTACATGAAGATTGAGTGTGTTTGCTACTGACCTTTGCGTACGTAATCGTCCTTGTCGAGATGTTCAAACAGTGCACTCGTTCGTTCGCTTCGTCCTTGCCAAGACGTTAAGCAGGGCTTTGTTCATTGGCTTCAAGAGATCGTTCTCCTATTCACTAAAAGAACTCGTTTGTTCGCTGAGCACTCGCCCGTTCAAGTAAACAGAGGTCTCCCCCTCCGTTTAATTAAACACAATATATGGCTAACTTCCGTTTTCTATACGATTGTTGGCTGTACCTTTTTTTTTTTTTATCTATCTCCACCACGTATTCCCTTAAAGAGGAATGCCTTTATGCCCGGTGAAGGGCTCTTGATCCAGGGAATTATAGCTACCCTCCATTTTTCTTGGATGATTGCCTCATGGCGCAGTATGATCCTTACGGGTTTAGTGCTCCCACCATGAAAATAAATAAACCATCTTGTTGACACACTGTTTAATCAGTACTGTTTCATTTTACTACCTGCAGTCTACCTGTATCCGATTCCAGGGGGTCATCACCCCCCACAGTTTGGTCCCAGACCATGCTACCATGTCTTCCCTAGGACAATGGTCTCATACCAGTGTGTCGTGGGGCATTTCCAGCTCATTTCCAGAGTTAAACACATCATTCATCTCTATCCACTTTCGAGGCTTCTACTTTGCAAGACTATCTGTAATGGTTCCAGGAGTCATTTGTTAAGTCACTACAAATATTCAGATTTAAAAATACAAACAGTAATTAACAAACTAACATGCTAGTATACAGTCTTTCGTTTATTCATAGTCACGTCCTTAAAAAAAATTGTCCAGTGAACTATGCTTCTCTAATATTTCTCTGTATACATAAAATGGTCACATACAAAAAAATTACTTCCAGGTTACCTTAACACGATTTGAGGGGTTACTCAATGGCTCTGCCCCAGACCAGGCCTCCTAGTTGGTGTCTTGATCAGCCAGGCTTTTGGTACTACCCGCACGTAGTCCAACATAAGCACCAAGAGGGAACTTTTCAAGTTCTCTCTTGAAAACAGCTGGGGATCTATTGGTAATTCCCTTCACGTATACAGGGGAGGAGTGTTTAGAAGTTTTGGTCCCTTCATACTTGCTGAGTTTACTATTGTACTCAGTACATCCTTGCTTTTCATTGAGGGCATTTTGCCTTCGTAAGGATTACGAAGGCCAGTTCCTCCATCCCCTCAGAATTTTCCAGGTGTAAATTATGATGCATCTTTCTTGCCTCCGTAACTGGAGGTACAGTTCGAAGGATTTCAAGCTTTTCCACTGATTTAAATGTGTGACTGAATTTATAGGAGCAGTGAAGGTTCTATATGCAGATGTGAAGATTATACATTTTGCCTACAATCTGTCGACCCAAAGTTTTTCCACGTTGAGGTTGTGAATGATTGCTGTAAAGTACCTAGTGTTGGACCACATTGACTCGCTCAGTGGTCTGCCTAGAAGTCGAAAGTTTCATACTAGAATTCCACCTAGACTGGTGACACTAGAGTATCTGTTGACTGAGAAGCATGCCTGAGTAACACTTCGAGGAAACTGCCTTGATACTAGAAGGAAGTGGACCTACCCTCTCTTGGATCGAACCTGATTGCCTCTCATTTCCCATACGCTATGACTTCCATGGTTTTAGCCGATTCTCCCCCAATCCCCCTTCTCAATAATATAACAGTAAACATTTGCCACCAACTACAACGCCAAATAGAATCGCGCTAATCTTCAATATTTTGTTTCTCATCTTTTCTTGTGTGTCAAATACTTGGATAGGTAGACCATGTTTCAGTTGAACGTATAAATCTAAATTATATTTAAATATTTATTTATGTGGTTTAACAGTATAGGATGTCATAACCATTACTAACCAACAATGCAATTCACCACCACCATAATCACCTCAACCACCATCCTCAAACCCACCCCCACCACCAGCCCCATCACAACCCCCCACACTAGCCCCATCACAACCCCCACCACCGGCAACATTGTGCATCACAGGATAAATAACTGCCATAAATCACGTGCAAACATGACGACCAAGAAAAAGGTTCCATTAACATTGTTAGTATTATAAGTGATGCAGACACATAGCCAGAGTAATCTTAATCTTTTGTAGCTCTGCTGTGTAAGTGTGTGTACTCAAGGAATACCTAAAGAGAGAGGAAGAGGAAGAGGCGGATGAAGATGGGTACGAGCAGGAAAACGAAGAGTCGAAACAGGGGAATGCAACAAGAGGAGGCCGATGAGGAAAAGCAGGACGAAAAAGAAGGAAGAGGATGAGGTACATGAAGACTTCAGGGATTGAAGAGGCAGATAAGGAAGAACTGAATGAAGAAGAGAATGATGAAGATAAAATTTAAAGAGGATAAGGAGGAGGAATACTGTTGGGTGTGCAGAATATGTTTTATATTTATTCAGGGCACAAGTTTATCCACAACTTCAGTCATCGGTGCCAGCTGTAAGCAAAGGAAACCAGAGCCATCTAGTGGTGCCATGCAGCCCTAGATCGTCTGATGACCGTCAGGGGTGATGTGGCATTCTGTCTTGTCAGAGATGAGTTGGCGAGGATGGCTCAATTACCGTCTCTGGAGTATGTGATGAATGGCTTTGAAAACCGACAAGTTGAAGAATTGAGACACTTATGCAGCATAAGGGAATCTTTATTGAAGAAACGTTTCGCCACACAGTGGTTTCATCAGTCCAGTACAAAGTAGAAATGGGTAAGGAGAGGAGGAGTTTGAGGTCCTTCAGCCTGGAATCGATGTGTTCAGTCCATCACTTCTTATAAAAAGTACAGCATAGGGCCAGAGAGGTGGCTTATATACTGCAGTCAGGTGAGTCGAAGGAGGAGGAGGCGGGATCACAGTGGGACCTTCCACTACTGTAAGTAGGTCTTCGTCCAAAGGTTGGACAAGCGTTGAAGAAGTCTTTGTACCAAGATCCCATGATGTTGCAGTGTCTGACAGATGTGATGAATGGTTCAACGTTTGTCCAACCTTTGGACGAAGACCTACTTACACTGGTGGAAGGTCCCACAGTGATCCCGCCTCCTCCTACTTCGACTCACCTGACTGCAGCACCTCTCTGGTCCTATGCTGTACTTCCTACAAGAGTGATGGACTGAACACATCGATTCCAGGCTGAGGACTGATTATATAATATATATATATATATATATATATATAAATATATAAAATATATAATATTTTTTTTTTTTTATTATCACACGGCCGATTCCCACCAAGGCAGGGTGGCCCCGAAAAAGAAAGACTTTCACATCATTTACTCCATCACTGTCTTGCCCGAAGGGTGCTTTACACTACAGTTTTTAAACTGCAACATTAACACCCCTCCTTCAGAGTGCAGGCACTGTACTTCCCCTCTCCAGGACTCAAGTCCGGCCTGCCGGTTCCCTGAATCCCTTCATAAATGTTACTTTGCTCACACTCCAACAGCACGTCAAGTATTAAAACCATTTGTTTTCCCTTCACTCCTATCAAACACGCTCACGCATGCCTGCTGGAAGTCCAAGCCCCTCGCACACAAAAACCCCCTTTACCCCCTCCCTCCAACCCTTCCTAGGCCGACCCCCACCCCGCCTTCCTTCCACTACAGACTGATACACTCTTGAAGTCATTCTGTTTCGCTCCATTCTCTCTACATGTCTGAACCACCTCAACAACCTTCCTCAGCCCTTGGACAACAGTTTTTGGTAATCCCGCACCTCCTCCTAACTTCCAAACTACGAATTCTCTGCATTATATTCACACCACACATTGCCCTCAGACATTACATCTCCACTGCCTCCAGCCTTCTCCTCCGCTGCAACATTCATCACCCATGGGTTCACACCCATATAGACGTTGGTAAAACTTACTCTCATACATTCCCCTCTTGCCTCCAAGGACAAAGTTCTTTGTCTCCACAGACCCTAAGTGCACCACTCACTCTTTTCCCTCATCAATTCTATGATTCACCTCATCTTTCATAGACCCATCCGCTGACACGTCCACTCCCAAATATCTGAATACGTTCACCTCCTCCATACTCTCTCCCTCCAATCTGATATTCAATCTTTCATCACCTAATCTTTTTGTTATCCTCATAACCTTACTCTTTCCTGTATTCACCTTAATTTCTTCTTTTGCACACCTACCAAATTCATCCACCAATCTCTGCAACTTCTCTTCAGAATCTCCAAGAGCACAGTGTCATCAGCAAAGAGCAGCTGTGACAACTCCCCCTTTGTGTGTGATTCTTTATCTTTTAACTCCACGCCTCTTGCCAAACCCTCGCATTTACTTCTCTACAACCCATCTATAAATATATTAAACAACCACGGGGACATCACACATCCTTGTCTAAGGCCTACCTTTACTGGGAAAAAATTTCCCCCTTTCCTACATACTCTAACTTGAGCCTCACTATCCTCGTAAAAACCTTCACTGCTTTCGGAACCTACCTCCTACACCATACACCTGCAACATCGCCACATTGCCCTCCTATCCACCCTGTCATAAAAACCCTTTTCCAAATCCATAAATGCCACAAAGACCCTTTTAGCCTTATCTAAATACTGTTCACTTATATGTTTCCCCTGTAAACACCTGGTTTCCCCACACACCCCCTACCTTTCCTAAAGCCTCCTTGTTCATCTGCTATCCTATTCTCCGTCTTACTCTAATTCTTCAATTATAACTCTACCATACACTTTACCAGGGACACTCAACAGACTTATCCCCTATAATTTTTGCACTCCTTTTATCCCCTTTGCCTTTATACAAAGGAACTATGCATGCTCTCTGCCAAACCCTAGGTACCTTACCCTCTTCCATACATTTATTAAATAATTGCACCAACCACTCCAAAAAATAATCCCCCCCTGCTTTTAAACATTTCTATCTTTATCCCATCAATCCCGGCTGCCTTACCCCCTTTCATTTTACCTACTGCTCACGAACTTCCCCCACACTCACAACTGGCTCTTCCTCACTCCTACAAGAGTTATTCTCCTTGCCCTATACACGAAAATCACAGCTTCCCTATCTTCATCAACATTTAACACTTCCTCAAAATATTCCTTCCATCTTCCCAATACCTCTAACTCTCCATTTAATAACTCTCCTCTCCTATTTTTAACTGACAAATCCATTTGTTCTCTAGGCTTTCTTAACTTTTTTAATCCTTCACTCCAAAACTTTTTCTTATTTCAAAAATTTTTTGATAACATCTCACCCACTCTCTCATTTGCTCTCTTTTTACATTGCTTCACCACTCTCTTAACTTCTCTCTTTTTTTCCATATACTCCTTCCCCCCCTTGCATCACTTCTACTTTGTAAAACTTTTCATACGCTAACTTTTTTCTCCCTTACTATCCTTCACATCATCATTCCACCAATCGCTCCTCTTCCCTCCGCACCCACTTTCCTGTAACCACAAACTTCTGCTGAACACTCTAACACTACATTTTTAAACCTACCCCATTTCCCTTCAACCCCATTGCCTATGCTCTCATTAGCCCATCTATCCTCCAATAGCGTTTATATCTTACCCAAAATGCCTCCTCTTTTAGTTTATAAACCTTCACCTCTCTCTTCCCCTGAGCTTCTATTCTCCTTGTATCCCATCTACCTTTTACTCTCAGTGTAGCTACAACTAGAAAGTTTATCTGATATATCTGTGGCCCCTCTATAAAAATGTAACATCCGAAGTCTACTCAACAGTCTTTTATCTACCAATACATAATCCAACAAACTACTGTCATTTCGCCCTACATCATATCGTGTATACTTATTTATTCCTTTTTCCTTAAAATATGTTTTTACCTATAACTAAACCCCTTTCTATACAAAGTTCAATCAAAGGGCTCCCATTATCATTTACACCTGGCACCCCAAACTTACCTACCACACCCTCTCTAAAAGTTTCTTTCCCACTTTAGCATTCAAGTCCCTACCACAATTACTCTCTCACTTGGTTCAAAGGCTCCTATACATTCACTTAACATCTCCCAAAATCTCTCTCTCTCCTCTGCATTCCTCTCTTCTCCAGGTGCATACACGCTTATTATGACCCACTTCTCGCATCCAACCTTTACTTTAATCCACATAATTCTTGAATTTTACACATTCATATTCTCTTTTCTCCTTCCATAACTGATCATTTAACATTACTGCTACCCCTTCCTTTGCTCTAACTCTCTCAGATACTCCAGATTTAACCCCATTTATTTCCCCCAACTGAAACTCTCCTACCCCCTTCAGCTTTTTTTTCGCTTAGGGCCAGGAATCCAACTTCTTTCCATTCATAACATCAGCAATCATCTGTTTCTTGTCATCCGCACTACATCCACGCACATTTAAGCAACCCAGTTTTTTTAAAGTTTTTCTTCTTCTCTTTTTTTGTAATTGTATACAGGAGAAGGGGTTACTAGCCCATTGCTCCCGGCATTTTAGTCGCCTCATACGACACGCATGGCTTACGGAGGAAAGATTCTTTTCCACTTCCCCCTGGAAAATAGAAGAAATAAAAGAAAGAGCTATTTAGAAAAAGGAGAAAAACCTAGATGTATGTATATAAATATATGCAGTGCGTGTCTGTGAAGTGTGACCAAAGTGTAAGTAGGAGTAGCAAGATATCCCTGTTATCTTAGCGTGTTTATGAGACAGAAATATATATATATTATATAATATATATATAATATATTATAATAATATATATATATATAATATATAATATATATATATATATAATAATATATATATATATATATAAAATATATATATATTATATATATATATATATATATAAATATATATATATATATTATCGTGTCGATAGGCATAACTTGCGATTTTGGCTTAAATAGCAACGCTCTTCTTGCCGAATAAGGCAAGCGAAAATTTGTGTATGAAATAAATTCGCAAAAGTCATTCTGAACCTAACGAAAAAAAATATATTTCATATATATATATGTGTGTGTGTAACACACCGTCCGTCTCCCACTGAGGTAGGATGACCAGAAAATAAAAACCTCAATCACTTTCTTGCCAGAGGCGCGTCGATACTACAGTTCAGATGCTTCTCCAGGCTGCAGTATCTCCACCCCTTTTCCAGAGCGCAGGCACTGTACTTCCCACCTCGAAGACTCAAGTCTGGCTAACCGGTTTCCCTGAATTCCATCATAAATGTTACCGTGCTCACACTCCAACAGCACGTCAATTCATATAATCCACTTACCTCCACTCCGATCTAAAACGCTCAAACACACCTGTTGGATGTCTAAGCCCCTCGCATACAAAACCTTTACCCCGCTCCAACCTTTCTTAGGACGACCCCTACTTCACCTTCCCTCCGCTACAGATTTATACACAGGTCTTCCAAGTCATATGTTGCTCTGTCTTCTTTAAATGTCCAAACCACCTCAACAGCCCCTCCTTCACCCCTCTAGATAATACTTTTAGTAGCCCTACACCCTTCTAATTTCCAAACCGCGAATTCTCTGCACAGTTTTGACATCACACAG